TCTGACTTAAAAATATTCAATGTCATTTATACTGTATGCTATTCTTACTACGTATGTGTGCAGTCTGACTTAAAAATATTCAATGTCATTTATACTGTATGCTATTCTTACTACGTATGTGTGCAGTCTGACTTAAAAATATTCAGTGTCTTTAAAAGTTTTAAATATTGTCCATTACTGTGTATGTATGTATGCTATCTGATTTGAAAATAATTAGTGTTTCATATTGTCCGTATGTGTGTCATGAATAATATTATCAGTTTTCTTGATGACACTGATGACTGAATATAGATTTATACATACATACGCAGCAAAGAATTGTAAAATGGACAATATGAAACTATTGTGAAAATTCACGTGACATTTACAAAGATCATTGTTTTGTCATGTGAGAGTAAGGGACAATATGTAATTTGTTGCATTATTTTCAAGAGGACTGTATATATATATTTTTTATTTGTATAAATAAAATAAATAAAATTCGAAAAGGTGACATAAAAATACTTTTTTTGTGATGAATCGCGAAAATAATCGACAAAAATAAAAATTTCAGTGAAGAACGCGTTGTAACAATAACAATCGGTAATAATTTTACGATTATTATATTTCTTGATTAAATACTTGATATAATGAACATTAACTAATACATTATTAGTTAACAAAAAGTACAAAACTAATATAAAACCCGTTTATTTACATGAGTTTGAAGCGTGAATTTCAATTTTCCTTACAGAGCATTACATAGTGGAAATGATAAAGAAGAAAGACATTTGAACAATTACCTGATTATCATTCAACAAAGAAAAAAAAAAAACCTCACTTTGTTACTTTTTTTTTTTTTAACGAAAGAAAAAAATTCCATATGTACATAGTATACATTACTCACATTTTACTTTGTTACATAAATAACAAGCATGTGATGTAATGTTTTCATCGGTTAAATTTCAGCAATATTTTTCAAAGAAAGAAAGATTTTTGTTTTATCAAATATTATAAAAAATGTTCTTTCATTAAAAAATTCTTTTTTTTCTTTTGTGTGATAAAAAAAAAAGGACAATTCAGGAGAAAATAAAGAACAATAGGAATGAAAACAATTTAAAAAAATAAATATATAGCAAATATAGTAAAGAGTAACAAGAGTAACATATTTTACAAGTTAAAAAATTGGGGTGACGCTAGACAAAAGCATAGACAGCATATAAGCATAGCCATCACACCTGTTATATACTTGACATAGAACGTGGTATATTACTTGTGATACTAAAATATTTTTTTTTTACACTTGATTATTTGTTGTGATCATTTGATTTTCAACAAATGATTTTCCATATTAGAAAAATGTCAAAATTAACGTCACAACTTTTTATTTACGATCTTATTTATACTGTAATTTTGTAACATTGTTTTTTATACTAGATATTCCCTTAACTTTAATTAACATTTTTGGTAAAGATTTTATGCAGATTAAAAGTTTAGTAACAAAGTGATCTTCGTTCTTTTCCGCGCCTATTAATTAACTAATAATCTGGGGAAGAACTGTTCTTGTACAACGTTAAAAAAAAAAATTCCAATTACCAAAGCGCCCAAAGCGTTATTATAGAAAAAATATTTTTGCGCCCCATATTTACATATTTACGTATTTACATATTTATTTTCATTTAAATGCGTGCGCGGAATACGCCGTCCCCATTTAGTTTTACTAATATTAACTTTCAAATAACCAATTATATTTATTTATTTCCGGCTGTGGCAAGATTTACCTGCTTTATAACCAGATTTTATAGTTTATATAATTTAATCATGGTTATTACAAAGATAGAATGGAATGTTCATCAAATGACGAAACCCAATTCTTCCTCCGTTCATTTTAGATTAGTCTAACCGATAACTATTCTAGTTACCATCAATAAACTCAAAAGATACTTTATTGTAATTTAAACTTTCGGTCCTTCCTCGCTTTTGCATTCATTTGTTTATGAAAGAGATGGACTATATTAATGACACAATGTACTATATTTGTCTATTTGTGTTATCATTTTATTACCTATAAATTATTGTATAAAATAAAAAATAAGTATAAATATATGCTTTCATTTTTTCCCTTTTTCTTTTGCCGCCTCAATTTCCCCACTTCATGCAAACTGTCTGCTGCTCACCGTTCTGACAGTTTTTTTTTGCCAAAAAAGTAAATTTCTGCTTTACCTCGCAGCAATTCCCAATTATAATTATCTAAAAGTAAGATTTTCTTATTTATATTCGACCTTTTAGCTTTTAATCCAGCTGGACTTCTGGCATTTTTTTTTTCTTTCTTCCTTTGATCTTCAAAAATCTTAAAAATATTATATTATATATATTTATATTAAAAAGGTGAGCAAATAAAATAAAGTTATATTTTTAGTACAATAGAATTTTTTTTTACAAGTTTTACAAGTAAATATTGTGAATAAATTACTGTCAAACATGTTTGCATAAATTAGGTAACATTTTACAAAATATACGTTCAATAAACCCACGTTAAAATTTAAATGCCCGATTTCGGTTAATAGACCAATAATAATTTATTGCTTTACAGAAACCGTTGCTTCGTGTTTCGTTTGACACTTTTCTGTGTATAGTAAATCTATCCCGCCAAAAAAATTTATTATTATAACTAATTTTCCGCTAATAATATTCCTCCAAATTTTTATACTAAAGGTTATACTAAAGGAAAAAATTGACTAATAAAAAAAAATCAAAAAAGGTACGTGACTGCGTGTTTTTTTATTTATTTATTTTTTTTTTTTATACTTTTTTTTTTTACCTTTCTTCCCCTTTACACCTTTTCCCCTGAGAGATTGTCAATTCGTTCCCTCATTATTTGAGTTTTCAGTCAGTTAAAAAGAAAGCTTGCTGGGAACTCGTTATTTTATATTTTGTTTTGACTCTCTCCACCGTTTATTCTATTATTTATTTTATTTTTTTATTTTTTTATTTTTTTTTCTTTATCCCTCATTCCCAAAACCTTTTTCCCAACAATAAGACTAAAAAAAGTTAATAATATAAAAAAAAAATCGTATATATATATTTCTTTCTCGATAAACCTCTAAAAAGTAATATATTTTTTAATAATAACTAAGGGAAAAAAAAATCATTATTTTTTTTTTTAAACATAGAAAAACGAACAATTTTTTTCTTTTTAAGTCACATTTTATAAATTTTTTTTTTTTCCTTTCCCCTTTTATAATTTTATTATATACCTTTCGGAAAAAAAAATATATATATATATAATATTTTATTTTATTTTTATCAGACGGTCTCAAACAAACTTAAGCACCCTCTATTTCGAAAACTTCACACTACCCACAATNGTCAAAAAATCCCTATCGAGGTATGTTACTACTTTAATAATATAATTCTCAATTAAAACTTGATATTAACTTTTATGTATCTTAAATATCTTTTTTTTTAGCATGCTGACGAAGGTCTGTCACGTGTAGCCTGTCTCTTATACACATCTAGATGTGTATAAGAGACAGGTACACTTTTTCTTTATGATTTTTTTTTTTCGCTCTTCGATCATTTAAATTATGAAAAGTATGATTCACAAGAGTATCATAAGAATAAAGCAGAATCATCTGCAGTCTATACTTAAATAATCAATTTGATACAACATCCGGCAGGGAACATCTCTCTCTTAGATTGATCTGCATATATGTCTTATCAATTATGGATATATGCACATATGGATTGGCTAAATTAAAAGGTTTAGTGGCGTGTCTTTCAACCGTTCTTCTCCATGTATGATGATGCTGTATGATGTTGTAGTCCATCAAATCAAGGACCTTTTAGAAAAAAAAAAAGGTTTATAACTTGTGAGAAAAAAAAATGATTATATATAGAGCGATAAGAAAACATAAAAAAAATTATCAATTCCTCAATTAAAAATCATTTTTTTATTTATTTATTATTTTTTTTAAAAAAAAAACTCAAAATTCTTTACGTTTTATTTCAATTTCGAACTTTTGAAACATGGTTGAACAACAACAACAGACAAGTAGTGTTCCACTTTCATCGCAAATTCCTCCGAGCCAAGAAAAACCGTCCCAAGAAGAATACGAGTCATCCCCTTCCGAAACAACTGAAGTTATTTCAACAACTGATATTACAGAGACAGAAACAGAAGAAATAGTTTCACCTGTTGTTGAAGAAACTTCTGAATCGGAAAAAGTAATTGAAGAAACTTCCGAATCGGAAAAAGTAACTGAAGAAACTTCTAAATCGGAAATAGTAGTTGAAGATACTTCTGAACCGGAAAAAGTAACTGAAAAAACTTTTGAATCTGAACAAGTAGCCGAAGGAATTTCTGAATCAGAACAAGTAATAGTAAATAATATAAATAACGAACAACAAGAAGAAAAAGGTGTAAATAATAAAGAAACTGAATATAGTAGTGTTACGGACGACAATATTGAAGAACCTCTTAATATTGAATCTGCTCAACTTGAAATTTCTAATATTCTAAATAACACTACAAATATTGAAGATAATCAAGAGACAAAAGAAGCTTCACCTTTATTAACTTACGTTGCCGATAACAAACTGGATTCCTTAGCACAAACATCAATACCTTCACAAGAAGGAACGGCTACTATGTCATTACAACATTTAGAATATGAAATTGTACATGTAACAGGATGGGATGATAATTATCCACCACATCAACTTTTACCAAAAGACAATAAAAATTTATCAAAAGAAGGAAGTATTAAACATGGAAAGGGATGGCAATCGGAAAGGTAAAATATTTAAATTTTGTGATTATTATTGTTCGTGTAACAAGTCATGTAACACGGGTTCACAAGTACACAAAGTTATTTAAGACACGTGATTACCATCGAAGAAATGTTACATTTTTATATTTGAATTTAGAGAATTTAGGGGAATTTTAAAATTTTATTATTAACTAATTTTCTCTCTTTTTTTTATCCGAACTTTTTTAATCATTCCGATCCAACTTGATCATGTGATTATATTATTTTATATTTTTTTTATTAAAAAATTAATATATTATAAAGATATTGTAAATACCCACAAGAAATAATATTGCAAGTATCATGTGGAGCAGCTAGAATTCGAAAATTACAAATATTATCGCATCATTATAAAATTGCAACAAAATTAGATATATATGTTGGGTCTGTACAGCAAAGAAAAGAAATGGTGGGAATGGAAGACATATATACTGGAGGTAGCAATAATGAAAATAGGACATTATCCAAGTTATCCTGGGATAAACTTCCAAAAATGATAGATAATGATGGTATAAATCCAGATGATGATGAAGAGTCATCAATATCTTCAGAAGACAATGAATATGAAATAGTGAAACCCGATAATAGACCTTATATCCTATTTAAACGACTAGGGTACGCGCTTTAAATTTATCATGTGAAAAAATGTCGTAACATAATAGGAAGAAATTTTTTTTAAAATGTTATTATTATTGAATTTATAGATATTGTGCCCTTGATAGCAACGAACGAGCAAATTATAAAGCTCGAGAATTAAAATCCGTTCGTCTTGATACTGAATGCGAATATATAAGATTGGTCGCTCGTCGTTGTTATTCAAATCATTTAAATCAATACAATCAGGTAAATAATTAAGTAAATTGATTTTTGGTTATAAAAAAATCCCTAAGGAAAAAATTATTTTATTTCTTAATTATAGGTTGGTATAGTAGGAATAGCCGTCATGGGTGAACCAGCGGATTATTTACTTGCAGGTGAAAGTCAAAAAATCCCTATCGAGGTATGTTACTACTTTAATAATATAATTCTCAATTAAAACTTGATATTAACTTTTATGTATCTTAAATATCTTTTTTTTTAGCATGCTGACGAAGGTCTGTCACGTGTAGCTTCGCCCGAGACATGTATCGTCCCCTTCGTCCAAGATATTGCACCCAATGATCAAAGAAATTTCACATCATTGTATTCTATTCTTCCCAACTCATCATTATCAGTGCCAAATAACAATACTACCACCCCATCACCCAATAATAACCAAACGATCAAAAACAACAATCCGGTAACCGCCAATGATTTTTTGTCAAATGGCGAGGAGACGGAAAAATTGCTAGCTGCGTTTGGCAGAGCAAAACAGGCTGCGGTGAAAGGCAAGCTATTTGAATATTTTAAAAGTGCAGCTTAAAATAATTATTCTATACTAACCTTTTTTTTACTATTTTTATAGTGGAAGATTTCAACTTGGCAAAAGTTTTGAAATATTGTACAGAATTAGTTAAAAAGGTAAAATTCGTATGAATAAATAAATTTTTAAATAAAATTATTCTAATAAATACTAATTTATTATAAAATTTGCTTTGTTTTCAAGACTTCTGAAGAAGTTTGCAATTTTGAAGAATTAAAAAAGAAAGCCGTTGAAGAGGAAGACTTTGACAATGCTGACAAATATAAGGCAAGTTATTCAATATATGATTTATATTTTTTATTATTTATATTTCAACACCATTAACATTATTATTATTTTACTAAACAATAGCGTGAAATAGAAGAAATTAGAGGAGAAGTTCGCGTAATTTTATCTGACGAAGGTTTAGATTTGGATGAATCGGGAGAGGTCATTATATCTGATCCATCATTACAAGACATTATAGGATTAGCGGATGATGTTGAGGTGAGTCGCAGATGTCGCTTTCCGCGAAAAGTAAAATTTGGAAGACGTGTAAATATATAGAAATTCAAAAAAAAAAGAGGTTGACCTTATAAATCTTTCGGAATGATACGGATATTTGACTGGTCAAAAATCTTGTATTGTCCTGTTGAACGGGGTTATTGTAATATATAACTAGTATATATTTAGTATGTAAATTTGTAAAATAGTTTATATCGAATTTATAGGGTCAAACTAAAAATGTATCAATTATATAACTGTAGAATATTAGAACATTAGTTGTAGAATAGTTTTTTTTTTCTTTTTTGTGTTCGATATGTATTCGACGGCTTACTTAAATTATTTAAAATATGATAAATACTTTGTTATATCGAGTATGGTTTATATAGAAATTTATTTTTATTGTAAAGGTTAAGTGTAGTAATAGTTTCTTGTTTTTTTAGAATGGATCATCTGACGTAACTGGTGTACTTTCTGGAAATGAACACCAGCTTCAGCAAAATTATTTATTTGCAACCACTGCATATGTTTCAAAAAGCCGAACAAGCAGCAATGCATCATTAGACCGATCTGGTGCGCGTGCTCCAGAACCAATGTTTCCGTCAATGCAAAAAAGCCGAACAAGCAGTGATGCATCAGTAAACCGATTTTTAGGTAGTTATAACAATTACACGTATGATCAACAACAAGAATTTTCAGCACCTACTACACCTACTCATTCAACAACCCCTTTACCTTGGACACCGTTTGTAGATGATAGACCTATGACGGCTTATATCTCAAGAGAAGAAGAATATCCAGAATATCCACCAAAAGATGAATTTACCGAAAACGGTCCTATATTATCAGATCTAGCAAGATCCGCCTTTGCATTATCAATTCCATACTTTGGAGATAATGTTATTGTGCGCCTATTGTCCAAGGACTCTATACTAAAAGAATCTGCTATAGCAGATGTTATTAAAAGAATTGATATTGATGGCGAAGGTTTGCATGTTGAAGGTCTTGATAAAGTAAGTTAATGTTTGTTGAATTAATAATGTTTGATTTAATAAATATTTATTGTTGAATAAAATATTTATATTTATGTATATTTTTTTTTTTATTAGGTTTCATTAGTTAAAGCAACTTATCAAATTATGCAAGAGGCTTTGGATGATAACAATGAAGAGTTATCATTACAAGTTTTAATCCTTTGGAAGAAAATACTCAGTAAGTTTAAAATATAAATACATATATTTCATATATTTCATATGTTATTTGAATTTGTATATTTATTTTATTTTATTTATATAATTAATTTTATTATAGGATTTGGCACTCATTATCAAATTCCCAATATGTCAACATGGAAATTTGTTGAAAATCTCTATGAATTATTGTTCAGCAAAGTAGCGGATCCAAATGAACGCGTAAAACAAAATTCTACTGAATTGTTTATCTTATTAGCCAAGACTTATCGAACACCGACTCAATCAGTATTATCAATAGTTCTCAAACCAGCAAAAACATCTTCACAATCATTAAAAAGAGCAAAACCTACAGTTGAGCTTATAATTCGATTGGTAGAAGAATTTGGAGTTGTTGTAATTCCAAAAGGAAAATTTGATAAAGATAACAAATTAAGTCTTGACGTGAGTATTTAATAACAATATCTTAAACTTTTTTTTTTTTTAAAAAAAAAATAAATAATTTTTTTACGAAAAAGGTAGATCAAAAATAGAAGGTCATTTCCTTTTTTATTTTTGTATTTTCGTTTTTTTTTTTTTTTAAAAAAAAAAAAAATAACAATAATTTTGAATGAAGCACTTATTAATAATTATATAAATTAATTTAATTTTAATTAGGCTGTTATGGATTTAGCAGTATCTTATTTAAATAATAGTCATACCGATGTTCAAGATTCTGCTGTAAAACTTGTATTTGAAGTTATTAAACGTATTGGTAGAGTAGAAGTTGCACAATACCTTACAGATGTTCAACCTTCGTCATTAGAAAGTATTTTGAATCTCCTTAAAGAATGGGAAGCAACAGGAAAAGTTGCAGGTAAATTATTTGAAAATATATATATATATATATAATTATTATGTTAAATGAAACTTTTTTGTATTCATATATTTATTTATTTTGTCACCCTCACTATTTTATAGGAGAGCCTTCACCACCTACCTCACCAAAACAAAACCCCAATGCAGAAGAAAATTTCGAAGTAGATGAGGAATTACTACAAAAACCATTAGCAAAACGTGGAACAGTTAATAGATTAGAACAGCAATTAATGGAAGTACGACATATGATGAATAATACCAATCATAAAATGAAGGATGAATACGATGATTACCATGTTAATGCTACAAAAGCATACCATCAAGAACTCGATGAAGAGGAATTAGCATTAGCAGCTGAAGAAGAACGATTAGCTGCGGAACTTGAAGCAGAGGAAGAACAACTCCGTAAAGAAGAATTAGCTCAAAAAGATAAGGCTGCTGCTGCTCCTACTAAGAAAACCCCAGCAGCTCGTGGAAGTAAATCAGCAGCTCCTAGCAAATCTGCTCCAGCGAAGAAATCTAAAGATGATAGTAAAGCTGCATCAAGTAAGAAAACTTCGGCATCAAAATCATCCGCCGCTAGTTCTAAAGCTAAACCAGAATCCCGAAGAGGGTCAACAGATGATAAATCAGCAACAAAAGGTGGAAGAAAAAATTCTGTTAATGCGAGTAAGTTTTTTTTTAATAAAAAAAGTCATATTTTCTACCGCTTTTATAGACCGGAAAAGATTTATTTATATTGTTAATTTATTAATTGTTTTTTTTCCTTTACAGCGCAAAATAAAATAACAGCAGAGCCTGAAAAAATAACTGACGAGACTGATGAATCAAAAGGTGATAGGTAAGTATTGTTCGTGATATTGATAACGGACTTTACGATATCTATTTTATTCTAATATATATTATTTTTTTTATCTTTAGACATTGTATTTTCTGCGATGAACACGATGATAGATTCACTGAAGACAATTTAGTTACTCATTATTGGAACGACTGTCCTGTATTGACCAATTGTCGTTTATGTAATATTGTAAGTTGAAATGAAAAATTACTCTGTGTTAAAATAACAGAAACTTATCTGAATTAATTTATTTTGTAGATTCTTGAAATTTCCACTCTTGATGACCATATGTTGAATGATTGTGATAAGAGTAAATTCGTTAAACAATGTCCTCGCTGTCGCGAAGTCATCGAAGCTGATGATTACCTTGAACACATGGCAAAACAAGCTTGTATGGTTATTCGACAAGATATTGTTCGTTGTCCTCTTTGTAAAACAGTTGTTAAGCCCGCGACAGAACAAGGTTGGAAGTCACATCTTTTAGATGAAAGTGGTTGCACAAAGAACCGTAGAAAATCAAGACCACAAGTTGCTACTTCAATGGTCAAAGAGATGGAAGCTGCAGCAACAGCAGAAAATCGTGAGAAAAAATCAACATCAACAACCAAATCATCTTCCACATCAAAAGCTCCCACTCGTAAACCAACTGCTGCAAGCAAAGATAAACCAAAGAAAGCGTCAACAACCAAAGTTTCAAAGGTTAAGAAATAATTTAATTTTTTTAAAAATTTTTTAACAATGTATTTTAGGTATTAAAAAAAAAAAAAAAAAAAAATTTTTATGTTTCTAATTATTACTGCCACTATTAATTTACAATTTATTTTGCATACGGGATTTTCACCCCCCTTTTATTTTTTACTCGAAATATACATTTTATTTGTTTTTCTTTCTTACAAAACACTGAAAATTTGCATTTTTTTTCATTATTTTCCAATTGTAATATTCTTTTCAATTTTTCATGATACTTTTGCATATTCCTTTTGCATATTCCTTTTGCATTTTTTTTTTTTTGTTGGAATATTTTTCAGTTTTTGTTTAATAATTAAGCATTTATTTTTCCTTTTTTCCATTTTATTTTTATCATATCTTATCTATTTCACATTATATCATTATCAATTTTTATGTATTTTTTTTATGGTTTTTTTTCTTTTATTTTTTTATATTTATAATTTTTATGGATGAAAAATTTTGAAACCTGAATGCTTTTATTC